TCGCTTTCTTTTTAAACAGATTTATTCCTGGTCATTACCAGATCAGACTCAGAAGAGGTTATTGCTTCATTCTTCCCGAGGGGGATTTGATTTGAAGTCCCACAAGGAATATTATGTCACCAAACTATTTCCTTTCTATAACAGGATAAAAAGGGGGGGTGAGAGAGGGAGAGGCAGCATGCAGTGCAACAGAGGCTGTGGCCGGCGGGCATTGCAGTGAGCCCAGGCAGGCAGCTCAGCAGAAACCCTCTTCAGCCTCATCCCCACCACAGCCATCCTGGGGATCTTGGGGATGAAGTCAGGAGGCAGCATGACAAACTCCTGGGATGAGGAGCAGGAAAATCCTAGTGCACTGCCAGAGGCTGGCTGTGTTTTGCATCCATCACATGATGCTCAGGAGCATCTGATGCACGGCTGGGGATGGGCAGTGTGGTGGAAAGCCTCACATGATGCTCAGGAGGTTTTGCCCAGCTCTCTGCAGGGCTGAGCCTGCACTGGGGAGGTTGGGAGGGACTGGAGAACCTCTCCTCTGAGGGCTCACCACTCACCTTTGGCTTTGGCAAAATCAGATAAGCGAGTTAAGCAAGAGGGGGAAAAAAAGTATGTTTTGGTAGGGTGCAGAATTTTGCCTGTTCTGCAATTTTCTCACTGTAATAAGCCCTTACATGCCTGTAATGGGCTGCATGAGCCCCATGAGAAATGAGGAGAGGAAACCTCTCAGCTTCTCCCCGTCTCCTCCGCACAGTGCTAAGCATTAAGTTCATTTTGCTGCATCTTTTGGCTAGTTGCTCTGTCTCTGTCAGCTTTGCAGTGCACCTGGCTCTGGGCTTCACTTGGTGTCTTCGGAGCTCTTGGATAAAAACAGGAGTCAAGGAAAATGATTGCAACAACCTGTGTGGATGTAACATTTAAGGAGAGGCGAAGTGGAGAAAAGCTGGGTCTCAGGAGCAGGAATGAGTTGGTCAGATCTTCTCCAAGTGCTGTTTTCTGTCCCTGCACACCTGCCCAATTAACACTGCTCTTGGAGGCTTAAAGAAACCTAAAAATCTCAACCAAAAAATCTAGTTACTTCAAGCCCTGTTAGCTGACTTCAGCAGCCTCGCTGAAGAAATGAGGCCTCTCAAGTGCCCAAAGCTGGGGATGGCTGGCTGTTTTTTGTCACCGAGCACAGGAAAGTGGCTAGCACCTCCCTCAGCAGAGTGAAATGATGGGAACCTTGGGATGCCTCCTGTCAGCCTGCGGACAAGCCACTTGCCTGCATCTCGGTGCTCAGTCAGAAGACGACTCCTGCCATCTTCTCCTCACCTCATCTTTGCAGCTGGATGTGTATTTTGGACCATTTTATCAGTGGCCATAGGCAAGACTCTGTGCAGCGAGGATTGGCTATGCCAAATGGGGGGAGAAGAAACAAGCAGTGATAATGCAGGGCAGTAAGAGGCTTGTGCCAGTGTTGCTTGATGCTGGCATTTCTTCAGAAGTGCTGCAGATGTGATGGGAATGGGAACGTAAATGCTTCATTCTTGAAAACTTGGTGCTTTGTTTATAATCCAGGCAATCATTCATGCTGCACCTGCGGCTTGGATCATCTTTGCAGGGCACAGATTGTGAAATCAAGGAAATAAAAAATATTTGCTCTTTCTAAGATGACTTGCCACATCAATGAGCTTCCACCCACCTGCTTCCTTACCAACAAGGAGTAGCTGCCATAGATGAAGTGTGCAACAGTTTCTCCTTAGGGCTGCAAGATCTGAGCTCTCATAATTATGATTTTTTTTTTTTTTTTTTTTTTTTTTTTTTTTTTTTTTAAAATTGTTTGTCACAATGGTTTCTGTGTATAGACATCACAGGAATAAAACAGGCAATGTTGCCTGTCAGCAGCAGCAGCAATTGCCTCTTCTGCTGTCCAGCTCTGCCTGTCAGTCTGGAACCTCTGGTTTGAGCTTGCCTGTTCTTGCCCAGTTGGTGTTATTCAGCCCAGCTCAAGGCTTCTGTGCACAGTGGGTCCTCACAGCATTTTGCTGTGCCATCAGGGTGGTGAGAGGCTGGCAAAGGAAGCAAGCCCTCTCCGTGCCCTCTCTGCAGTGCTGAGGAGTGGAGCATGGACCAGAGCTGATGCCAGTGGTGAGGAACACACAGATAGAAGGAGACATCCCTTAAACTACTGTGCTTTGGTCCATTGAAAGCTTCCCTAAGGACAGAGAGTACTTCGGGGTAGCTGTTTCAGGACACAGAAGATAAGCATCTGCAGTGTCTTGTTCTGCTCACAAGTGAGAACACATTTAGTGGAATCTCCCCAGAAAACTCGTAAGATCATCTGAAATCAGATATTTGCCTGTAAATCATACCTTGGGCACCTCCAGGCTGTGAAACAGGTTTCTCTTCATAGGAGAGAAGTTGTGGTGTTTTGGCTGACTGAAGATGGAGAAAGGAAGTTAGGACTGCCACCTCTGCTTGAAAATTAGGGAGAGGGAGATGTTCCTTTGGTCTTGTGACTCTGAGCTGGGCCTCTATGACATGCCAGCATAAAAAGGTATGAAAGATCAAATGCAAAAAGGAATTATTTTGCTTCTTTTGCTCGCAGTTGAGAGCTCTTCCAGGCCAAGCAGCAAATCCAAGATAAGAGCAGAGGGAAGATATGTCTCAGGATATGAGCTGAGTAAACAGAGGTGTCTCTGGGGACAGGCCATTACTGAAGTTCATTCATCTCGAATGAGTAAGCAGAGACTCACAATACAGCTTGTTGCAAGGGTTGACCTGACTCAGGGAATCAACATTTTACCAGTTTTGAGCCCTAAACCAAAACTGAACACCAGATTATGCCACTTTTGAGGCTGTTCCTTATCTCCCAAAGAGAAGATAAGCTTTCTGTCTAGTGCTGCAGAAAACGGGGCACCCACCTTGTAATCACAATATATGGAGGTTGGTACTTCAGGTGTCAGCATCGGTGCTGGTCACAGCCTCACGTTGGGATGTCACTTCAGGAGTCTGTCGGCTCCCCCTCAGGTCAGAGGAACAGGGTGTTACTGTCAATGGTCCCAGGCAGACCTGTCAGCCCAGCCTGTTGTAAAGGTGTGTGAGACGTCCCACTGAAGGAGCCTGGCTGTAATTGTGTACAATTTTGCTGCTTTCCAAACCATTCAGGCTGAAATTTTGAGGATCAACTTTTTGATTCTGGCAGAAGAGATTCTTATTAAATTTTCACAGGCAATTTCTGCAAAATATGATCAATCTCAATTTTCAAGAAGGAGGAAGACAAATCAGTTGTTTTACTTCTAAGCTTAAAAAGCTCTCATGAATTTTCAGAGAACCCATACAGTCTCTGTGCTTAGGAACACCAGCTCCCAGCTTTTTTTAGTTTGCTCTAGTGTGATACACCCAATTTCAGCAATGCAAGTGTGAGTCTTGGAGTGAAAAAATAATATGTGTCAGTGGCTACTTTTTAGAGTTTGGCAGGTGAAACATGGTTGCTGTTGAGTATCTGCCCAAGGGCTGTTGGGGACTGTGAGTAAGGTTTTTCCTCTCGTTCTTGAAGCCACAGGCCAAACAGCAGAGGTCTGTGCTGTGGATCTCAGGCGTCCAACCCCACCAATGATAAGTGGTGTATTGGGTTGTCATTAATCAGCAATTTTCCCTGAACTCACAAAGCTACTTTTCTGCTTTCTGGGTTATCTTCTGGTGCTTGGTTGGGTTAAGTGGAACTGGAATCCTTCTGACCTAGCAAACATTCAGACCTAACTCCACTCCCTGCAGGAGACTTGGCCTCTTCACCTTCTTGTGTGCTGCTGCTCCTTGGGGACTGAGTGGTGGTTCCAAGGGTGCCAGGTCTTGTGCAGAAATCTCCTGGGCTGGCATAGTGCCCTGGTGATGTCCTAGTGCCTGTTAGATGTAAGTTCATCCCATGCCTGAGGTCCCATTTCCTGTCTCCCTGAGACTCCTGCAGGCAGCCTGCAGATGGCTGTTCCTACTGAGAGTCTCCAGATGCCCTGCAAAGAAAAATCTGTACATGCTGCCTTGATCTTCCCCTCTTTCTCCTGTGGCTGCAAGGGGAAGCTGTTTGTTTGAGATGCAGGACTGGGGGTGCTGTAAATAGCTCTCTGCTTTGGTGAACCTGCTGTGTCAAAGAGGGACAGCCTTGTGGCAGGAGACAAAGGCTAAGCCTATGAGCAAAGATTAGACCAGCAACTGCGGATTAGGGCATTTCTACCTGGACTCATCCTTAATTCTACCTGATTTAAAATAACATGCAGTGGCAGTGGTGGCGATGAGTAGGGAGGACTCACAGTGGCCTTGACAGGTGGACCTGGAGGAAGGATGTTTGGCCCCTAGAATCTGTGGGGAAGCTTGAAGGGTGTTGGCATACAGGTGAGTGGGCAAAAGGATAGGTGGTGTCATGGACTGGGCTGATGGAAAACTGGTGGAGAGAGGTGTATGATGTGTGGGGAGATGGGGAGAACGGGAGCCCAGCAAAATGGAGCTGCAGAGCAAGCAGGGCTGTGGATTGTAGGAGGGTGGATGGGGAAAAGAGCATAGTAGCTTGATAGATAAAATCAGTGAACAAATGCACGGTAGAAACAATTAATCCCTTGACGGGAAAGGAGTGAGTGGGAGAATAAGTGCAGACTAAGAGGATTTCCTCTACTTGAAGCCATTGTATGCAGGCACCTGCACCAAAACCATATCCCAGTTTACACTCCATGTTGCCTCCCTGTGTGTCTGTGGGAAGCCACCCTTACTCCAGACTGCAACTGCTTTGCATTGCTTTAGGTCAGATGGATAAAAAGGTTCAATCTAAAAATGTCCTATTTTAAGTTAATCCTCAGAAATAAAATGAGACCATCTCCCCAGTAAATTCCCTGTGGCTACAGCCCAGGCAAGAGAGCAGGATGGGAGCTCAGCAGAGCAGAGATGTGCTTGCAGAGAGTGTCTGTCCCCTGCTCCTTTGTGCTGGTCCGGAGAGATGGGGCTTGCCTTGACATGTCTCTTGCCTCCCTCCCCACCAGATATTCTCCATTGTGGTGTTTGGCTCCATTGTCAATGAAGGGTACGTGAACCGCCTGGACGAGTCAGAAGAGCACTGCATTTTCAACCGCAATCACAATGCCTGCAACTATGGCATTACCGTGGGTGTCCTCGCCTTCCTCAGCTGCCTTCTTTACCTGGCTCTGGATGCCTACTTCCCGCAGATCAGCAGCGTCAAGGACCGCAAGAAGGCAGTGCTCTCAGACATCGGAGTCTCGGGTGAGCTTCCTGGCTGGTTGGCTGTAGTGCCTCTCTCCTCTGCCAGCAAGGGAGAGGGAGGGAGCTTCTGCTGCCCTTCAGGTCAGGTTCCTGCTTGCAAGGAGGCCTTTAGGTTCCCTACTCTCTCAGGTTTTCTGGCTCTCTCCTTTTCTTTCCCTTTCTCTTCTTCTCAGACAATCTGGCTGATGCCTCTCAACTGTTCTCCATAGGTGTAGCTCAGGGAGCCCTTTAGGATTAGCAGGTCTTGGCTCCCTGCATCCTTGTGCTTGTTAAGACCAAGTATGGATGCCTCTGGAGACAGTACTTCCTCCTTTTCCAGCTCCAGGTGATTGAACATAAAAAAAAGTTGAGGGATTCATGCAGGCTGACTTAACTAGTCCTCCTAGGTTACCTGGCATTCCCTATATGAATAACTGTTCAGGACCTCATCCATCCCTGAGGCTTATTCTAACTTATAGTCAGATCTCTCCATCCCCAGCAGCGTGTTAAAGTGACACAGTGACAGTGTGTGTGTATGTGTGTGTGTAAGGCCAGTCAGCAGTATCATGAGGAGGTGCTTTGCTCTCATGCTGTCATCCTCAGTCACTCTCCTGGCTTACTCCACCCATTCAGGCAAACTGCTCAACATCAGGCCCTCCCCAGAGTATGCCAGAGGGACCATAAGTGGAATGAGGGCAGGATCAGATGAAGCATCTGAACTTGCTAAGGACATTGGGCTCGCAGGTTTGTCCACGGTTAGCCCTTTGCCTGGCAGTTCCTTTTACAGCTGACAAGAGAAGGGGAGCGACTGAGCCCTGTTTTGCTGCTGCTTAGGAATGTCCATTTCCCCCACTGCTGGGTATCTGCCTGCACCTGGCAAAGAGAGTAAGTTCCCCCTTGAGGCTACCCTCTACCTTCACCCCTTTCCTGGGGGCACAGCATGTTAATGGTCCTTCACCACCTTTCCTTGATGCGAGTCCTTGAGCTGTGCTGTGCTGACAAAAGCCAGTCTCTGTGCAACTGCAGGCCGGCTCCTTCCCACTCCTCTGCAGCTCCCATGGAAGGAATTGCTCTTTGCTTGTCCTTGCAGGATAAGGTTGTAAAGCAGTGGCTGTTTCGGACAGCCCAGGTGATCGCTCTAGTACTGGAAGCCCTTCAGGCTCCCTCCCAAGGCCAAATGCAAGTCCTGTGATCAAACCAAACACAAGCAAATGAACTCTCCAGAGGTACTTTCTGCAGACGCCTATTGTCACCTTGACAATGTAGCCATCAGTGAGCTTTACCAGCTCACTTGGGCTTAGACTGGCTGTGCAACATCCTAGTGGGTCTCAGAGGACTGAAATCTCCAGAGAAATGTGATATGTATATGTTCTGCTCACACACATCTTCTGTCCTTCCCCTTTGGCATGTCCATGGTGGTCCATCTCAGCCTTCTGGGCATTCCTCTGGTTCGTTGGCTTCTGCTTTCTAACCAACCAGTGGCAAGCTTCAAAAGAAGAGGACAACCCACTGAATGAGGGAGGGGATGCAGCCCGAGCAGCCATCACGTTCTCGTTCTTCTCCATCTTCACCTGGGTGAGTACAGAGTCATGATGTTGGATCAAATGTCTTCTGTACTGTATTATCTTGTGGGGAATGGAAGGTGATTGGCTAAGAGTGGTTCCCTCTGGGATCTCAGTTCACGTGGCTTCTGAGAAGGAAAAGCAGGAGGGGAGGTGGTTGGGAGGTAAACTTGGGAAACAAGGACTCAAAAACTTACATGAAAGAAGGTTTTAGAGCATTTACAAGCACAATGGGAAAGAGAGTCCCATATCCTATTAAGTAGTGTCCTTGACAGACTTCCAGTATGACTGTGGACAAGCCTGCTCCCCAAGCACCATTATCATAGTTATACAATAGTTTGGGTTGGAAGGGACCTTTAAGGCCCATCTAGTCCAACTCCCCTGCAATGAGCAGAGACACCTTCAACTAGAGCAGGTTGCTCAGAGCCCAGTTCAACCTGACCTTGAATGTTTCCAGGGATGGGGCATCCATCACCTCTCTGGACAACCTGTTAACCTGTTTCCCCTTTGCATCAGAGGACTTCAAGAGCATTTTCACCTCACAGACACTAAATAGAGAAGGGAGCTCCAGGCCAGGGGTTGTCCCTGCTGTGCTCCTGTCATATGAGTTGTCACCACTGGCCACGAGAGGCTGCAATGAGTGTCCCTCTGGGCTGTCTGTCTGCAGCACTGCCTCACTGGGTCGTCTCTCAGGAAGGTGATGGTGCTGTCTTAAGATTGCCCTTTCCCCAGCAGTTCTTTATTGCTAGTTTTCTGGAAAAACTGCTGTGTGCAATATAAATGTCCTTGATGATTTCCTCCTGCCTCTGAAAGCACCAAGCACAAGTGATTTTTTTCTGAAGTGACAGGATAGTTCCAAGCAGGAAAGCGTTTTAACCCTGTCTCCATGCGTAAGCGCTTGTGGCTTTGTCTTCTCCCCTTCCTACAGGCCTTAACGTTGGGCAGGGTCCAGATAGAAAGGGTGCCATAAGACCACAGAGCTGCCAGAGAGGAAGGTCACACCAAGCAGGATCAAGGAACATCAGTGTGTGTGTTCCCTTCATGAGCTGTGTCCTGCACTTGAGTGCTGCCAAAGTCCCCTTGCAAGTTCCAGCAGAAAGTTTGACAAGGAGCAAGGCTTTTGCAGGGGGTCCCTCAGGACCCTTTTTGAGGTGCCATCACCTACAGTGGTCCTCTGCAGTTCACAGGCTTGTGAGTGGCTAAACAGGCATCTTCTTCCCCTGGTTCCTTGGGGTTTTTATTTCAAACGCCTGTTTGCTCTACCTTACTGATTCTCCTTCCCACACCCCTTTCTCTCCTCACAGGGCATCCTCGCATTTCTGGCTTTCCGGAGACTCAGAGACATTAATTTTCAGGAGGAATACAATACCCTGTTCCCTAACTCCCCATCCTTGCTGCCTTAGTGCCCCTTGCTGATGGGAGAATTTGGGGGAAGGGGTGGAGGGATGCAGCTGGAGGAGGTCACTGAGCAGAGCCGGTTCCAGTGCCCTGACCATGGGTGTGTGGTCACTGCAGGGCATAGGATGGGAAGACATGGGCCATTGAACTGGAGTGGGGTTATCCACTGAACGGGGGATCTCCCTCTGGAGAGTTGGAACTGGCAATTTCTTCTCCTCCTCTGCTCCCTTCTCTCCCTCACCCATACCCTAACTAATGCTCTGTAACACCACTGTGCCTTTCTTTAGATGACTGCTCAGACCTAATACTTCAGCCAGGAGATACCCTCTGCCCCCACCACTTTATCTCTTCCATTTATTTCCAGACCTCACTCCCCAAAAACCTCTCCCCCCATCACCTGCTAGATTGCTCACTTTGATCATCGATGCTCTGGGACAACAAATCATGCCTGCTGGGGTCCACAGTGCTGAACCCTATGCCCAGGCTCCCTCAGTTCACCAAAAGGTGTCCTGCCTGCAGTGCCTGGGGTAGGAGGCAGCACTTTGTTTGCTGCCTGTGGTCTAGGAAGCAGCCACCTTGCCTCCTGCTGCTCCTTTCCAAGGTCTGTGCTCATGTGGATGTTGACTGGTGAAGGGGTTACAGGGGGTGACCTCTACCTCACTACTTTGTGTCAAATCCTGCTCTTCTTCCTGGCCGCTCCAAGCCAAATGGCAGCGTACATCCAGCCTGGCAGCCGAACCCACTGTGGTTTTGCTGAGGCAGATATTGCCTTCCCACAGGCAGGAGGGGCAGAATGGAATAAGCACGTGCCAACTGAGCCTCTGTGATCTGTGCCATGTTGGTGAAACCCCATTGCCAGGCAGGAAGTGCCCATCACATCCCAGAGAGAGCAGAGAGCCCTGGCAGGCTGCACACAGCCAGCTGCACTTGCAGACATCCCTGCCCAGTGCTCCTCTCTCCTGATGGGCTCATGCTTTCTGTGGGACAGCCTGGACTTCCATGTTCTTGGGGTGTTTCACCGGTGCTCCGCCAGGCAGGCCTCGCGCACTAATCCGTAACCACTACTAACCCCACTTTTGTTTGTTTCTCTTTTTCGGTACGTTCCCCCTCTTTTTCTCCTCTTCCCTCCCCTCTCTGCTTCCCATTTCTTCCCTCCACCTCCTCCCTTAAAGGTGGGCCAGGCATTCCTGGCATATCAGCGTTTCCAGCTGGGTGCCGATTCGGCCCTCTTCTCCCAGGACTACATGGACCCAAGCCAGGACTCCGGCATGCCTTATGCTCCCTACACGAACGAGGAGGATGCTACAGATGCGGTGGGGACATACCAGCAGCCCCCTCCAGCAGATGCTTTTGACACCGAGACACAGGGGTACCAAACACAGAACTACTGAGCCACCGATGCCCCTTTCCCTTCCCCTTTCCCTTCTGCCCCCTTTCCCACTGCCGGCAGAAAGCCGAGGCACAAACCAGACACGTGCATAGTGGTACTAGAGATGGCTCTCAGCTATGCTCCAGCCTTCTGGGTCATCTGTTTTTATTTATTGTTTTTAAAAAAGGAAAAAAAAAAAAGAAAAAAAGGTTTCCCCATCACCTTTTCCTTCTCCTCTCCCCCCAAGCTACCTGCCAGAACCAAATTTTCCCAAAATCTGCATTGTGACAGGAAAGTCCCCCCTTTCCTCCTCTCCCTCCTGCCTTGCTGCAGATGGCATAGTGTGTCTGGTGGGCAGGAGAAGGGCTATGGTACCAGCAGGGTAGGGAAGAGGGTGTTGAAGGCAGAAGGGAAGAAATCAGAGGGACTGTGGACCTTCCTAGAAGAGATGGTGTCACTAAAGGCTGGAGTAGATGTGGGAGCATCCAAATTGGTCTGGAGCACCTGGTGGCTCAGGGAGGGGAGTGGTGTTGGAGTCAGCATACACAAGTGTGAGGATGGGGCCTGGAGGGCAGCAGGAACAGTAAAGATGGGGGCTTTTCTCTGCCACATGCTAGTGAGTGAAGGGTGCTTTATTTTTAGAAGGTTTGGGAAGAAGTGATATTGGAGTGGGGGAACACAAAGAGAAAAAATGGGAAGGGAAAGAGGAAGATCTGCAGGTACAATCAGGAATCACAGACATGTCTGTAGGTTACAGCAAGAGACTGAGCAGAGTAGAGGGGCAGTGCCATGAGATCCAGCCCCCCAGGATTGAGAGGGAGGTAGTTCCCCTCAGCTGTGCATCCTGCTCGCTGCTCTTCTCAGTCTAGTGTTTGATGAGGCAGGAGGGGAGCCATGCCCAGTCCCTGGGCCCAGATACAGTGCCCCGGGAGGAAGGATGGAGGACTTGGGCTTCTGGGCACCCTGAGAGTCCTTGACCCCAGCTGGGTTGGTTCAAGGGGGAGAGGGGAGCTTTGTCCTTTCATCCTGGGCAGGAGGAGGAGGAGAAAGACAGTTTTGCTCCTCAGGTCCTCACCTTCCTCTTTACCTCTGCTACAACATTGCAAAGCCTCTTGCTGATGCCATCTTTGTAGCACACAGGAATGGAGCAGGACACTACTTGGAAAGAAATGCTGCTGCTGGAATGGCCAGCATGCATCTAGCTCTTGCACAGGGGTGCAACCAAGTGGGGAAGGATGCTGCCCTGCACAGCTGCACTTTGTCTCCCGCTCAGATGGGGAGGAGATCTTGGTGTGCAGAGAATTGGGTGGGGCCAGACTGAGCTCTCTGAGGACTGGTCTTTCTGTACTTGCCATAGACCATACCTTAGTGCTCTTCTGCAGCATCTCAGATCCTGGCTGGCTTTAAAGCCTCGCCTAGGTGGCAGCAGTGACTCTTCAATAGAGCTCATATGGATATCATTCCACACTCCTCGTGATTTTGCTTCAAGTAAAGACAAAGCTGTGGAAGCCCACTCTGTTCTAGGATAGAAGCAAGGTCTCTGTGTGAAGACAGGTTCCCAGAATTCCCCTGAAGGGAAATAATTCAGCAATAGCTACCTGGACAATTGTCCCTGGCACAGACATCTCTCAGAGCACAAGATGCAGGGTTTACTTTGCAGCAGTGAGGAGCTCCATTGCCCAGGAAGCCACCCTGCTTGACGCAACACTGGTCCCCATAGCAGAGATGGGGAGCAGATCCAAAATCTGTAGATGCTCCTGCTGAGCATCCAGCCTATTCCTCGTAGTACCCTTAGGAGTCAGGAGGATGAGACACAGGTCTGGCCTGTGGCTGTGTGAACATTTCTTCTGGAGGACACTGGAGTTACTAGTCCTTCCCTCCTCCCAGCGTGACTCCTTCCCATCTGCCCCACAGTGATCAGGATGGGGTAGGGACTGTAGAGCAGCAGGCCCCCAAGAGGGAAGTGGAGCAGTGTTCTCCGCTGTATACAGACATCGTTTCTACCTGCTCCTACCAGCAGACTCGTGCTGCTGGTGGCTGTTGCCATGGCTTGTCCTCCCCATGGCTTGCCCCACTGTGCTGGTAGTTACCCACTGGTGAAGACAGGAGAGGGGGACCAGCTAGCCCCACGGACACAGCAGGAATGACTGGGTACACGTCCCTTGCTCTAGGGCTGCGAGTGAACGCAATACTGTAAATAGGAGGGGTGTTTTTTGGAAGGAAGCCTCTTTGAGCTTCATTTTCTGTGGGTTCAGCCTAATATTTAGGCTTGGGATGGGTTTACTTTATTGAGAGAGGTTTGTTATGACTGTGGCTGTGGGGGGAGCTCCCTCCAGTCCATCTCCCCCTGGGGGAGAAGAATAAACAAATGTTGAGGTGGAGGAGGAGAGAAATTAGTTGTACTCGCCCAAACTCATCTGTGTCATCTTTCATGGTTTCATTTGGGGTGTGGGGAGGGAACCGAGAGGAGGAGGATGCTATAAATAACCAGCCCTGAGCACAAAAATGTGTTGTACCTTTTGGATGGAACTTTCCAGCGCCTGTCCCCTCTGGGTGAGGGACCAGGCACATAGGGAGAGGTATGGAAAATATGTGGGGGGTCTACCTGAGGCTCTCTTTTACGGTGTGGCGCAGGAGCATCTTACATACCCTGTTCCCATCAGAGTTACGTAGATGACTAAACACCATTTGGGGCTGACTAATGAGCAAGGTTTTCTTTATCCTCTTTGGCTTGCTTCCTTCATGTAACCAGCTGATGGTCTCAGATGGGCTTGAAGCAGGTATGAGCTTCCCCCTCAGAGCCAGGTGGCTTCATCCTGGGTTACTACCCATCTCTCTGTCCCTCTCCTCCTTGCTTTGCATTGTAGGAAAGGCATTGGTGTGGCAGAGGACACTACAAAAGTAGATACTCAGACAACTTGTTGCTTTTGCTCATGGCAGAAGACATACGGCTCCTTGGGTTGATGTGCTTTCAGCCTTTGCAGTGGAGGGTTGGTGGTGACAGACCTGGGGGTGGGAGTCTCCTTGTTTGCATGTAGCTCTTTAAAATGCAAAATGCAATTTCCAATGGCATTTGGCTTGTTCTGCAGCTGATGAGACATACAGACCTACCCAAAGGGCTGGTTATCTTATCTTAGGCGCTTCTGATAAGGTGCTGCCTATTTCTGGTTATCATAGGCAAGACCTGAACAGCTGGCTAGAACATGTCTATTATATTCTAAATGTGGGTGATATCAGCCCCACTCTACAGATTAGGAGGTCAGAGGGAAGGCTGTATAAGCAAAATCATAAGGCAGCTTTCTTCTCCCTCTGCCATTTGTCCAGATTACAGAGGATTACTATCCCCTGTTGGGAACAATGTCCCCTTGATGTCTTCTTATCTTACAAAGCCCCCAAGTAAGGGAGTGTCTTGTGGAAGCAGAGGCTCTGAAGGGCAAAAGGATGATGAAATTTTGCCCCAGTTCTATCTGTGGCTTCAGCCTCCTGACCTGTCCCCATCCCTGGCTCACCCATATCCTAACCACCACCCTGTTCATCACCTCATCACACACACCCTTCCTCGCCATATTCCTGGCAGTTCCGTCAGGGAAGGAGGTGTCTTTGTCTCTGCTCCCTCGCAAGCACTTGGGAGGACCTGGGAAAGCAGCACTGCAGAGTGGTTCCCACAGGAGTCTCAGCTCCAGTCCCCAGAGCAGGTACAAGGCAAGGAGCCCAGTGAGGCCACCTCATGCAGCAAGTTCAAACCATCCATCCAGACAACTCCCTGCTGCCTGTGTGGCATTTGTAACACCACCTGGGCTGCCCGGCCCCTTCCCCTGCCACATTACTGCCTGTGTATAGTATATATATTATATATATATATTTAAAGAGATGTATAATATAAAGCTATACATATATACGTATATATGATGACTCATGGATGGCCTGCCGCATACAGGATCCTCTTGAGTGGTCTTGTCTAAGCCCGAGTGTCCCTTCACCCCTCCTCCCTGTTCCCCTGCCCCTGTCTGTTCCGAAATCCAACTACAGCGAACCCCGCCACCTCGGCACCTGTGTTTACAATGTCCTATATATTTGTGGTTAACAAAGTGAAGGTGGTAACTACTGGTGTCTCAATAAAGTTATGATGTTCAAAATAACCAAACTATATGGAAAAAAAATGGTCTGGATTTTCTTCTTTGGGGAGGGATGGCTTTTTCAGCTTGGTTTGCTATGAGAGCATTGGCTCCTGTGCTCCTCCATGGCCAAGCTGGCAAGTTTACTGACAATCAGTGGCTTTAACAGAGGAAAGAGACCTAAAGAACTGCCCTTATTGAGATGTTTCAGGGGGAGCTAATGGTTACTTGTTTTACTTGGCCTGAGTTTCAAATCACACACCGTAGAGTGTCTTCACCTAATCAGTAGGAAAACATGAGGAACCTGACATGCCGTATTAGAAGTGGACTTCCACTGTGAAATGGATATGGCAATAGGAGGTGTAGAAGGGGGAAGTGCAGGAATATAGGATACAAACCTATATGAAAATACACACCTCTATTTCCACACCTGGGGAAGCAGATCTGTTTAGTCCCTTGATGTGTCTTTACCTCTATTCATCTATGTGTGATCATTGCTCGAGTGTCTGGTGTAGTGCATTAAGTTTTCAAAACATAATCAAATTCTGGGAAACAAGCTGTCAAGACATTGCTGACAGTGGCTGTCAGTGATTGGTAGCCCACCACTAAAAAGGATCTTGTTTCAACGGTCTCTGCAGTAAAAATGAAACTCCAAATCCCATCCTACACTAATGCTTAGGTAAAGCTTCCTTCTCATCCCTTTGTAATGAGTCTGTCACCACGTACCTGAATATCACATTTCCGAACCCCTGTGAGGTTTGAGGACAGTAAGCAGAGGCACATGGTGGTGAACAGGCTCTATCCAGTCCTCCAAACTGTCTCTTCTCTTGGAGACACAACTGAGCACACATTGCAACTGCACATCAAATTATATGCAAAAGTGTTGATGGACCAACTCATCTGTTTCATGATTAATCTTTGTTTGGACAAGACCCTTCCTACAGTCTCAGCTCTTGGGGTGGATGTGTTGTGGAGATACTGTGCCCACAGAAAGGCAAATGTCTGCGTTGGCAACTGGTGGAGTTAAAAACTGATGAGACAAGAGATGTTGCCAAAAGCAAGCATTTCAGATGAATAAGACTCTTAACATTACTAGTTTGTGTTTTCTAATAATTTGAAATCTCTTTCATTTTGTTTTCTGGTATTTGAAGTACTTATGAGTCATGTTTTGAAGCTTCTCCCTGTAGCCATGACATCCAGAAACATAATTCTATTATAAAGATGGGTTTTTTTAAAAAAAGGTCACATAATCCCAGGACTCAAAGAGATGCAACTTTGTTTAGTGTATCAAGAAATTCAATAAAATTATATATTTTATATATATATTTTATATATTTTGGCACAACTGAAACAACCCCATTTGTTGGCCTAAAGCTCTGTACAAACTGTTTTGCAGTGATATTTGGTTCCCTCTTGCAGGGATCAGCACTCTCATCATTACCCCTTCCTCTGTCAGTAGCTCTTCACATTGGCTTTCCAGCTCTCTGGAGGATGCTGGGGGCAGGAAGCTGTTCTTTCCAGCTTTCCTTCCTTAATACTTGTTCTCTCTATTGCCCCATGTTGTTTCTTTGCCATTCCAGCATGCCTGGAAACAGTGGCATGCAGAGAAGTGAGGAGCATTAGGGCACCTGTGCCTGTGGGAAGCATCAGGCTAAAGTTGGTAGAGGTAGAGGTAGACGGAGAGACCTCAGGGTGGAGCTGCGTGAGGGCTCACAACACCACCCTCTCCACCACCCTTCTGTCTGCTGTAGGAGCAGAGCCAGTGCAGCAAGCTGGCTCTGTCAGAGAGACCCTTCTTTTTTTCCATATTACCTCCTCCAGGCCTTGCCAAAAATCATGACTTTCCAGCCTGTTACCTAAAAGATTTAGGGAGAAAAAAAACTCAGGGGCAATTTAAGGAGGTGGTAAGATAAGGGAAGGTTTTAATGAAGATACAAACCATGCGTGCACCCCCTGACCCGGGCGTTATAATTTTATAATGATGTCCAGTCAATTCCCGCTCGTCCATCCCCCGGCCTTTGCCCCGTTCTGCCCCTGCCCTGCCCCTTGGGAATTGAGTCTGGGGGTGTTTTGGGACTCTCTCTTCCTCATCTTCTTCTTTGCAGCACGTAAAGTCCTTGGAGGCTTTCCAAAGTCCTGGGTGATATCTTGTTGTCCAGGCCAGGGGGCAGATGTTCTTAAACAGAATGAAGGCCTACCTTGAAAAGAAGACTAAATATGCTACTGGAATTTAGGGGAACTGATATGGAATTGGGGTAATAGGGTTGGGTATATGTGTAACTACTATGCTAAAGGATAAGGGATATAATACAGCTACTTCTAAAATCTACATTCACTAAATAACTACTTCTAAAACCTATAAAAATTAAAGAATCAAAAACTCCAAGGCAACAAGCCCCAGACTCCATTATCATTAAAACAAGGGAGAAAAAAAAAATCTCTCTAAACATGTCTTACACATGATCAGTAGAGAGAAACTAAATGTGATGTGATGGCTTCTGCCAGCAATCTTGCATATGCTTCCCATTGTGTACGGTTTCTAAGTGCCTACAAGAGCACTGCACTGAGGCTGCCTCAAGCTCTCTGCTCCCCATGGCATGTTGTTCAGTCATGCTGTTCATCTTTCATCCAGCAGCCAAGCAGTGACCATGCTTCTTCCTTTCCTGCAGAGAAAACTTTGGTAAAAACAGGAAGGCAGCGGTACAGCTTGGCACCAGAAATACCATGTGTATAATCCCTAGCACTGCGGACAGAGAAAATATGAGAGTAATTACAAAAGGAGAGAGAGGGGGAGAGAGAGAGAGAAAGAGGAACGAGAAATGTGGGAGTTTAACGTGAGAGAGGGAGCAGTATATCTGGCAGTCACTGAATCATATAATTCATTTACTTGTGCATGGATGGTGAGGTTCAGTGACCAATGTCCTGCGTTCCTGGGGAGATTTTGGCTGCACGGGAATAAAGCATGGTAATTTCTGAGAGGATTTACAGAAAGCAAGAAGTGTAAATGAAAGATAAAATAAGCTTGATCGGTACAGCCAACAAAAACTCAGTTGGTGCAGTATTTCATCTTCCAAGTGCTGCACAAAGCTTTTGGTCTCTGTGAGCAGACATTCACAGAGCAGCACACCAGCTTCAGTAGCACTTTCCTTTGGAGGACTCTGAAATGCTGGACAAATGTGCCTTTAACACTGCAAATGGCCTTGTTTGCTAAATCTTACCATTCACTTTTTTTCCAGGACAAGTAGTTAATTGTCTCACTCAAAGTTAGAGCAGAAGCTCAGTGACAGAACTACAGAAATATCCAGGCAGAATCTGGCACAAGTATTTTCATCAAGAAAAGCATGCTTTGCACCAGGTCTATGTTCAGCCCAAACTGGCAGAAAAAAATAAACCAGAATGACAAAGATTAGTGACTATGAGCTGAAGCCAGATATTTAAATTAGGAACAGGGCACATTTTTAACTGCAAGATGTGACAAGTCATTGTATAAACAAGGAGAGTGGCAGCTTTTCTATCTTGTATCTTTAGGAAAGTTGTTTTGCTCTCTCACTGAGTTCACATTCTGCCTTATCACACCCTCACACAGACTCTTGCTTTTTTTGGTCTCAAAAGCACTCACTTATGGATAGAAAAAGACAGAAATTACTCCTAAATTCCCAGTCCTGCAGTGCAATACGTGCTGGCAGTTCTGAGCACACCCAAAGCCTTGATGATTTCAGTGGTGCTCTAAGCAAGGGCAGGGTCTGACTGTGCTCATCAAGGTGCATGACTGCAACCTTCAATGGCATTAAATAACCATAAGCTGCTGCTGCAATGCTGAAAAAGTGTCATCGCGTTTTAAAGCAAAGACACTTGCCTTGCCTGTAGATTTTTAATGGCATGGACAATGCTGTGCTCTGCATTTTTCTGCAGCACTGGGAATTCTTGATACTGGTAAGAAAACAAATCTTTGTCAGTACAAAATCTGTCCACTCTACTTTTAATACAGATTTGAGACCCATTCCTTTAATTATTTGTACCTATTCACAGCTTTATCCACGGGAATACTCCAAATGACATCAGTGAGACCAAGCTTATACAGAAGCCTAACCACGAGGAAACTTGTTTGTAGACTGAGGTTCTAAATTTAGCATTTTCGTCTATCTTTGCTCAATATAATCTTCAAAAAAAGTAATTCTGCCTGTATACCTAACTCTGCCTGAATGGCTGTGTATTTGAGAGCCTTGTGTGAAGGGGAAGGATCTGTAATCTTTGTATATTCAGGAAAAAGAGATGTAACAAAACAATAGACAGAAGATTTACAGGAAAGGAAGCTCAAAATCTCCGGCAGAATCCCCTGCAGCAAAAACCATCGTTCCATAGAATGAGGTTAATTAACTGGCAATTATTTCTGAAGTGCATCTGAATCAAATATATCTGCCACAAAGATGTCATTAAAAGAGTATCAAGCCACTGCTGGAAGTCAAGACTACTTAACACTCCCACCCTCACCACAACTGCACTGCTACTACTCATGACTGAAACTGCATGTCTCTCATGCTGGATCCCCTTCAGCCACGATTCACATAGGGAAACACATTCTTTCCCAAGCCCCCCTCTGCCCAGCCTGACTGCCAGCCAATGCCACTCACACTCCTGGAGGGCTCTTCTGCTAAATTAGAATGTCAAGAAAGTGGTGAGAATGAATCTCGTGTCTTCCCTCCTGCCCCAGCTGAACCGAGTCAATGGAAACAGGCTGTGTCTGCCTAGAAAGGATTTTAAAGATCAAAATCAGTGATCTCTGGTTTTGTCTGTGTTGTTCAGGCAGGCACACAGGTGATTTTACTGTTGTGCCTGACTCGAGACCACCAAGAACTGCTCCAAAGCATGGCGGGTATTGAGAACCACCTGTCAGCTGTTCTAGACACCTTCCCATTGCTGCCCTGAGGGCATGGTCCAGCTATGTCCTTGTTATGGCCTGCAAAAGAGGGTGGGAAAGGGCAGGAGACAGACTCAAAGCTGAAACACGTTGATGCCTCATGTGGCATCTATGGAGCAGGATGCAGCTGAGAGTTGTACCTGGGCTAGGTCTTCCCTGGAGGTTGCTTGGAACATAATGCACTGCTAAGAAAACCATTTCAACACCAGGCTCCCTCAGGGCTCTCTGGCACCCAAGGTGACCCCATTTCACAGGATTCAGGATTCAGAGTACACATTGCACCTTGAGTACTGTGTTCAGTTTTGGGCCCCTCACTTCAAAAAGGACATTGACGTGCTGAAGGATGTCTAGTGAAGGGCAACAAGGCTCCTGAAAGGTCTAGAAAACATGTCTTATGAGGAATGGCTGAGGGAGCTGGGTCTATTTAGTCTTGAGGAGGCTCAGGGGGAGCCTCATCACTCTCTACGACTACCTGGAAGGAGGCTGTAGTGAGGTGGGGGCCGATCTTTCCTACTGTGTCTGCAGTGAGAGGACTAGAGGAAATGGCCTTAAACTGAGACAGGGGAAATTCACATTAGATATTAGAACATTTCTTTTCACTGTTATGGTGGTCAGGCATTGGAATAGGTTGCCCAGGGAAACAGTGGAGCCACCATCCCTGGAGGTATTTAAGAGGTGTCTGGATCCGCCAATGGGTGATATGGTTTAGTCGTGTAGGGGTTAGTTACAGAGGCAGTGCTGGGTTGATGGTTGGACTGAATGATCTTAAAGGTCTCTTCCAACCTCGATGATTCCATGATCCTCACAACCCCGCCCCTCTCCCTCCACACACACGCGCGCGCTGGCAGTGGCGGGCAACAGGTGCTTCTTTCTCACACAACCGAAGGCCATGGGTAAGAAACGGAGATGTCTTCATTCCCCCTCGACAAGAAGGAAAGTGTAACGACAGGGAAACTTCGAACTACTCCAGCTCCGAGGGACTTCCCTCCGGCTCTGCCCAGCGCCGCCTCAGCGCGGGAGGCGGAGCCCGAGCGGACCCGGCGCTGGGGCGGCGCGGGGCGGGCGGGAGGCGGCCGCTCCTGCTGCAAGATGGCGGCGCAGAGGAGGAGTCTGCTGCAGAGTGTGAGTGGCACCTTCCCCCCCTCCGCGCACACGCACCCCCCAGGTGGGTGCGAGGGTGTCTCTGGGCCTCCTCCTCACCCGCCCCCCGCGCTGCCGTGTGGGAAGGGGGAGGTCCGCCCTGAGCGGGGCGGTGGGTTGCTGCCCTGCCGGCCCCTGTGCCGTCTGAGGGCAGGGGGTTCCAGCTAGCGAGCGTCTCTGCGGGGTCAGCGATCCGCACCCTGGGCTGACCTGCTGCTCTGCAGCGCTGGGGGGGCCACAGGTCGCTGAGGGGGGGGTGGGCCGTGCCGGTGCTGCGGGCTTCGGGGTGCCCCGCTGTGTGAGGGGGCAGCTGGCGACTGCAGGCCGTGAGGGAGATGGCGGCCCCAGGGGTGTCTCCCTAAGAGCTGGCTGCAGCACCGGGCCCCTGTCCCTTTGTCCTGGGTAAGTACTCCAGCGGGGATCCAGAGCCTTCCCTGCACTCCCGTGCCAGGGATGCGTGAGAGTCTGATTCGCCATAGGAATAGCTAAACTAGAGCAGTGCTGTATCAAGCGTAATCCCATGCAAATTTAACTTCAGGTTTCTTGTTAGCAAGAGACAAAGTGCAGCCAGAGCTCAGCTTCAGAGGGAAGGGAGGTGATAAGTGGTCCTGTTCTGCAGCACGGGGATGTGAAGTTATTAGCCGGTGTGGTGTGCTGCCTTGTTTGCAAAGGGAGGAGGGTTGAGAAGAGAGTGGGGATGGACTTGTAACCTGTACTGGACCAGGATCCTCGCTTCAAGCTGCTTGGGTTTTACATGGTCTCTTTCCTCTTCCTGTCTCCCAGGAACAGCAGCCCAGTTGGACAGATGACTTGCCATCCTGCCATCTCTCCGGGGTGGGCTCTGCTCCGAACCGTTCGTACAGTGCAGATGGCAAGGGCACAGAGGGTCACCCCTTGGAGGATAACTGGCTAAAATTCAGGTAAGTGGGCTGCACTTGGGACAGACTCCTGCATGCACAAGGGCAGGTAAAAGTGATATGCAGTTTGTCACACAGGGCTCAGAAGAAGAGGGTGGAGCCTGAGCATGCAGGAGGTGCCCGGAGGAACTTGTTACTTGTGTCTGTGTCTTACAGACATCTGTGACCTCTTTGCTTCTGCCCTCTTGGCAGGAGTGAGAACAACTGCTACCTCTATGGTGTCTTCAATGGCTATGATGGCAACCGAGTCACCAACTTTGTGGGTCAGAGGCTCTCTGCAGAACTGCTGCTGGGCCAGCTACATGCAGATCACAGCGATGCTGACGTGCGTCGAGTTCTGCTGCAGGTAAAGAAGCTTTGAGTGGGAAACGGCTGCTGCTTTTCACACTACCCGCCTCCTCTTTTTGCCATCAGGGGAGCAGCATCTGGTTTCTGTGTGGGTTGGAAACATCTGCCGCTGGTTGCAATTGCACTCATGGCGAGCATCTGTAGTGCTTTGTTTCACTCCCGCCTCAAACCCATCTGTCCCTCTGGCTCCGTCAGCACAGTGCTGAGAGCTGTCCAAGAAGCTGCAGCTACTCTTCCTTGGACGTGTAGGAACAAGTCAGCCTGTGAGGGAGATGACAGTGAGTGAAAGGGAGAAGTTAATGTGTAGGGAGATGGATTTGTGAGTGTGCTTTCTTGAGTGAAAGGCAAGTTCTTAAAATCAACACACAAGATCAGATAGGTCTCTGACATTCCTGTGAATGTAATTTTATGGTTTTGAGTTGTTGCAGGCTGTTTTTACAAGCTGTTAACTAGTCGCACTGAAACAATTGTGTTTCAATGTGATGTAGTGATCCTTGAATATCTGTACGTACAGTGATCATCCACTCTTACGAGCCAGTCTCAGATAGGTGGGGATGGGTAGCTTCAAAGGTCTGTAGGCATTGGATAAGAGCTTAGTTTTTCTTTATGGCCTTTTTTTAGGCTTTTGATGTGGTGGAAAGAAGTTTCCTGGAGTCCATTGACGATGCCTTGGCAGAGAAGGCCAGCCTGCAGTCCCAGCTACCAGAGGTAATGTAACCTTAAGAGCAGAGATTGATAGAGAGGTCCCATGCTCCAGATTGCTGGATAAGGTTTGGGCATATTAGTCAGTTTGGTCAAGGGAGGCTGTAAGTGAAAATTACTTCTCTGTGGTTCTCTTCTGCGAGCTTGCATGAAGTGAAGCAAGCCCTTTGGTCCATTTCCCAGAGTTCCCACTGTTCATACTGGCACTACTTAGACCCATCATTGGTTATCTGAGTAAGGAACTGAGTGTATCATGGAGAGGAGTTCAGGCTGTACATGTGGCTTTTCCAGAACAAAGCCATACGATGCAGAGGAGAGGCAAGGCCTCGAATTTGCATGGCATCTGGGCAACTGTGTGTTCTGTTCTTCAGGTGTACTGGACTGTCTGCTCCAGAACCTTATTGAAGCCATGTCATTTGCTAGGATTGAACAAAAAATACTGTGTCTTGCACAAGCTTGACACAAAGCTAAGACATGTCAAGTCCTTTCCCTACTGAATTTTTATTTCAACTGTGATACTGTGTGTTCAAGCTTCTCCCTCATTTTGGGTTCCAGGGTGTCCCTCATCACCAGCTCCCTTCTCAGTACCAGAAGATTGTGGAGAGATTGAAGGTTGTAGAGCAGGAGATCTCTGGAGGAGCCATGGCTATTGTGGCTGTCGTTCTCAACAACAAGCTCTACATTGCCAATGTGGGTGAGTTGGTTTTTGTCAGTGGCTCACTCTCGGCATTCCTGAGGATGGCAGCTGTTGTAGGAAGTAAAAGAAATTTGAATGTGGGGGACAGTTTCTTTGGTCTGTGACCAAGCAGTGATATGCTTGTTACTACAGGAGCACTTGAAATCAGCCTGGCTCTTTATCCCTACAGAGGTTGGCTGTATGACCAAAGAACAGAGGGAAAGTGGGTTGAGAGAAGTGGTGCAGGTTCAGTGAGAAATAGGGAACTTTCTTGTGAGATACTGGCTCAGGTCTGGATGAAGAGCTGCCTAGCAGGCCTACTCTGCTGCTAGCAAGTCTACTTTTTGAAGATCATGATGAGACAGTACATGAGCCTTTCTCTTCTTTTCTGTCTTTATTCCCGTCTGTTCCTTTTCCACTGGGATATGTTCTCCCTCTTAATGGCAGAGCTATCTGGTGCCTCATCTCGCTGCTCCCACTGCAGGTACCAATCGGGCACTGCTGTGCAAGTCCACGGTGGATGGGCTGCAAGTGACTCAGCTCAACGTGGACCATACGACAGAGAATGAGGATGAACTTTTTCGCTTCTCTCAGCTGGGTGAGTTTGAGTTTCATGTTCTTAGCGCAGAACATTGCATGACTCTGTTTATCTGGGGCACCAAGAATGACTCAAGCCACTGGAAACAATAAATGGCCACAAAAAGAAGCTTACTATGTTTTCAGATAACAAGTTCAGTGCCTTCTTTTTGTGCCTTTCTGAGGCTATAGAGTGAGTAAGCTCAGCTCACTGACCTAGTAGAAAACTATCCTTTTGATTCAAGTTTTGAGTGGTAGTTTAGTGTCCTGCTGCCAAACTGGCATTGATTTGCCCTCCAGCTGTGTGATTGCTGGAGTCAATAGGAAGGCAGGAGTGGAAGCACACAGCCAGAGGGTAGAAGTGAGGTGGACAATATATGAGTGCTCCTGTGGAGGCAAACCACAGTTGAGCTGGGTTAAGTTCTGTGTGATGCTGCACCCTCAGGATGGTACGTTTCAATATGCCTTTATACAAGCTGCTGCTGCAAAAAAGCAGCTTCACTTCAGAGAGAGGCAGGCCAAGCACTGGCATTTACTGCTCTCACATCAGTAACTATTGAGCTGACATTTTGCTTTAGGCAATTTCCCTTTTCCTTTACAGTGTTTGACATGTTTTCTCTCTTGGTGTAGAGCTAACCCAGACCACTTGTGTGATAGCTAGTACCAAATTCTTCTTATTGAGATACTTAGGTTCCGTACTTTTATTTAGGTAGATCTAAGGTGGCATTCTTCATTAGGTTCACCTGGCAGATATATTCTTATCTGGTGAGGCTGTTGATGTGGTAATATCTGCTGCTGGGTCTTGTTTTATTCTATTTCTCTGTAATTTCCTCTTTTACTCCTATTCCTGCACTAGGGATATGTGCTGTGAAACAGAAGACTGAATGAAAGAATCCTGGGAAGGAGACCTTTTGATTGCCTTTCTACTGCCAAAAATGCAGAATTTAGCTGCAGTCCATAGGAGGACAGGGATCTGTTAGATATACTGACCTTAACTTGGCACAGCAGTGGCGCTCCTGCCTGCAGTCCCAGGAGAAAGAAGAGCCTGTGGAACAGGACGGTGTGCACAGGCTGTTTTGGGGGCCCAGAGGAGGTGGTTGTAGGGCTAGGTTGAAGCACAGTGTTAAGAGGTAGTGGGGATAGCATTTGTCATGATGGTCCCTGTGTCACCACTCTGGGGAAGGGAGGGAGAGGTCTTGTGCCTTTGTGGCTCTTCACCCAGCACATCACAACTTGTTTGGTGCTCTGGGAGAGTGATTTAGACACAACCTCTCCAGTGTGCTCTGGGCCTCCCTGTGTTTGTGTCTGTCAATGGCACGTACCCCCCTGCCCGGAGCTGGCAAATGAGCCAGGCCGTGTTGAGTCAGCTGTGGTCTGCAGCAGATGGAGGAGTTGTGTCTTACTGCTGGGGTAGGTGTGGAGCCATCTGTGCAGCAAGGCTTGGTTTGACTCAAAGGGAGCGTTTCAGTTGGACCCCTGCCTTCACCTTGTACTGAGGACAGTCATCCCTAGATAAAATCTCAGTGTTTTCTGGCTGTTAGCTCTAGGTATAACCAGGAAAGGGGGGTTGCCAGGTAAGTGGCTCATCTGGTCTGAGTCCTGCCTCAAATAGTAGCTGCACCCAGATGGTCTCTGTTAGAACCTTCTTCAAGCTGGGATTACTTCCTAGCCCCTGCCAGGGGTATATCCCCTTAAATTTATAAATATTTGTTTGGTTAGTGTTCTTAGCTTAGGAGCAGCCCACATCAATTTGAGCACTTGAGCAAATTCAGTGTCTCTTCTAGATAGTTATCCTTTTCTCAGAATCTCAGAATCACAACCTGGGTAAGGTTGGAAGGGACCACATCTGGTCCAACCTCCCTGCTCAAGCAGGGCAATCCTAGAGCACATTGCACAGGTTTGCATCCAGATGGTTCTTGAATATCTCCAATGAGGGAGACTCCACAACCTCTCTCTGCAGTCTAGTGTACTAGGGGAATTGTCATATGGAGCTTAGGGACAGGGATCAGTAATAGACAGAAGAAGAAGCAGAATCCTTCACATATGTTTTCCTCCTTCCTGCCTTCTCCTCCCATCACACAGTCCAGAGCTGACAGGCACAGATGTTCTCCTGGCTTTTCGGCAAATGCCTGTGTGCCCAGGCCAGCTGCTGCTGGTGGCTTTGGACCAGGATGTGGGCTTTGTCTCGGGGCCAGCTGTTGCATTCAGTGTGCCTTTTGGGCTGCACGTGTCTCCCTCCTTTTCTCTCCTTCCCGGATCACAGCTAATGAAAAGGTGTCCCTTGGAACACAGCAAACTGCTATTCCTTTTCTCCCTGTATGGCTCCTGATGAATCTTCAGCATCTTCTTTTGTATTACAGTTCTATTTAGCTGCAGATATTTCTCTTCTCAGAGGAAGTTCTCCAGTTTCACAAAGTTAATTAAACATTTTTGGTTTTCAATCTGGCAGGCTTGGATGCAGGGAAAATAAAACAAGTGGGAACTATTCGTGGGCAGGAAAGCACTCGACGCATTGGAGATTACAAAGTCAAATACGGCTATACTGACATTGAACTGCTCAGGTCAGAAAAACTCAGCTTTGGAGTTTCAAGCCCTCCTTTTCTTCATGATCACTCCATTCACACCATCACTCCATATGTCACCATTAAATGCTAAATAACACTGTCTCTTTCCAGTGCTGCTAAATCTAAGCCCATCATAGCAGAGCCTGAAATCCACGGAGGGCACTCGCTCGATGGGGTGACTGGCTTCTTGGTGCTCATGTCTGAAGGGCTCTACAAAGCGCTGGAGGCAGCTCATGGGCCTGGGCAGGCCAACCAGGTGAGCTGGCTCACACAGGAAACGCTCCCTGGGCTATTGACTCACTTCAGCTGCTCCCTTATAGACTGTCCTCCTCATATGTCCTGTCAGTGCTGGCCAGGTTGAATGCCTGTGCCACCACATTCCAGTCTGTAATAGTATGGGAGCTGCTTTGCCAAGCCAGTTCTTCTAGGCAGCTGCCCGTCCCTTAAGAGTAGCCCATCAAAAGGGAGTGGGATGATCCAAGGCACAAGGGCACATATCAGCAGGTGAGATGGGCAAGCTTCACAGTCAGATGAGTTGCCATAAAAACTCTTAGATCAGATGGCAGGAAAAGGTTTCCTTCAAAATCTCCTAAACATCCTTCCTCTGATGTTTTTTTCCTTCTCTGCTCAGGAAATTGCAGCCATGATAGCCACAGAGTTTGCCAAGCAGACGTCTCTGGATGCTGTGGCACAAGCAGTAGTGGACCGGGTTAAGCGGATCCACTGTGACACTTTTGCCAGTGGTGGAGAGCGGTCCAAGTTCTGTCCCCGTCATGAAGACATGACGCTGCTTGTGAGGAATTTTGGGTACCCCCTGGGTGAGATGAGCCAGCCCACGCTGACACCAACGCAAGGTGTGTTGGGGGGAGAATGAGACAAAATGGAGGGGGGGAAGATAAGATCTCTTGATTGATCCAGAACTGACCTCATATCAGGAGAGGAGGTACTTGGGGTAGAAGGAATTTTCTTATTAAACAGATTATTGGCTTTTGACATGTGGAGTCTTTGACAATTTTATAGAATACAGTACAGCATCTAATAAAGGCACTTTCTAATAAATTCTTGGGTTCTTTGGGCCCTCTTTGCTGCTGTGCTGCACCCTCAGTTGCTCATGTCTCAACTGCATTTTATAACTTCTGTTTTCTCCCTTCTCAGGAGGCCGTGTCTACCCAGTCTCTGTGCCATATTCCAGCTCCCAAAGCACAAGCAAGACAAGTGTCACGCTGTCTCTTGTAATGCCTTCCCAAGGCCAGATGGTCAATGGTGCCCACAGCAGCTCAACTCTGGATGAAGCCACCCCTACCCTCACTAAGTAAAGTCCTGCTCTCTTGCTACTCACAGTTTTTCCTGCACCTCACACGGTGTAAAGTGGTTGCAAAGCAGAGGCACCTGTCAGTTACCCGTCAGTCATTCCCTTATCTGTAGCATGGCCCCCCCGACTGCAGTATTGACAGCCAGCAAATTGTGTTAGCTGGAAAGCGATTGTGTGAGAGTGGGAATGAGTGAAGCGAGCAGCTCTGAAGCCAGCTCTGGCAACATGCCTTGGGAGCAGCATCTGCTGCTGTTCATGGAGGGCACTGGCAGCGAGCAGCCCTTCTCTTTGGATCTTGTGTACCAAGTGTGTTGGGTACTGTGCACAGAGGGAGTGTGGGTGCCCTTCATTTTAGTGAGGAAGAGAGACTATGCAGGCCACCTGTAAGGCTGCTGGAGAGGCTGCACTGCCTCAGAGGCCAGGAAGAAAGTGTATAAAGCTTAGAATTGGGTCCTATTTGGATCCACTTTGCGGGATCATACTACTTAGTGGCTGTGGTTTAGGTTGAGCCTTTGTCACAGGATGGTGCGTGTACACACTGCAAAGTGAAGCAGTGCTGTGGATATTGTGTTCTGTAGCTCCCGAAACAATGAAGCTGACACCAGAGCTGCTTTGGCTGCAGCACAGGTCACACAAAAATAGCTTTCCTTGCTGCCTGACTCTTCCCATAAAGCTTGCACTGTTACAGGTATGGGGAGGCCGGCAGAGTGCATGCCTTTTTTTTTTGGACTTTTTTTTTTTTTTTTTTCCTTCTACCTCTCCTCTGTTCATCAGATGCCTGGTTGTATTTAAGGCCTTCAAGTTAATGTGAATCAGATATCTTTGATGTTTGTCAATTCCAATCAGCTCTCAAGTCTACTAGTGTTCTCATAGAGCAAGTGCCTGCAACTGTTTGCTAGGATAGCTTGATCTGTGAAGAAACTGGTGCTTGTTCTGATACTTTTCTTGTCTAACATAAAGGTGGTTGTGTTCTCTCTTTTTCTCTCCATAGCCAAAGCCCAACTGTGACACTCCAGTCGACTAATACTCACACACAGAGCAGCAGCTCAAGTTCAGATGGAGGTCTGTTCCGCTCCCGGCCTGCCCACTCACTCCAGCCAGATGAGGATGGGCGTGTGGAGCCCTATGTGGATTTTGCAGAGTTTTACCGGCTTTGGAACATGGACCATGGCGAGCAGGGAGCACTGACTGTGTCCTAACATGGTGATCTGCCTCCTGCAGACACCTGAAGCTCGGCTGCGAGAGCAAAGAGTGAGTGCTCCACTGAGGGCTGTGTTCTGCCCAGAGCTAACTCCTACACAGGATGTGCTGGACACTGGGCAGGGGAGCTTGTGCACTACACACGCGTTGCCTGTGCCATGCTCCCAATCCTGACCAGCCTCATTCCCTTGGAAGCCCTGTGAACAGGGGAAGGGGTCTTGAATGCAACCCTCGCTGCAGGTTTTTGCAAATAAAGATGCAGAGGGGGCTCCTTCTGGATGGTGCAAGAGGCAAGGCCTGTACAAAGGCTGCGTGTGTGTGTGTGTGTGTGTGTGTGTGTGTAGGTGTACACGTGTGCCTGCGTGTGTGTTGTCATAAAGTTTCCACAACTCAATTCATAATGCTGTGATTCCAGTGTTCAACTCCATAGAAGATACCTCTATTTTGCAGAATAAATAACTTATAGCTACAGTCATTGGCACCCATGTGGCTTGCTCTCTTCCTTATAATGTCATGTGTGGGTGTGACAGCTCCTGGTGAAACCCTCTATTCCAGAACAGAGGGTTGCACCTTGCAGCAGGCAAGCTTCTGCTGTAAAGTGGCCTGAGCCCTTGCTGGTGACTTAAAAGCATAAGCTCTTTGCTTACTTATTTGCTGAGCTTTGGCACTGAATTATGGCTTGGAGTTAAATTATAAATTCAGGTTATTGTTTTTTGTAGGTAAAATGCACATTATTTCCCTTAATGCAGGCCATCTGGAAAATTGTATAGGGCAGGTGGAGTTTGTAATGCAGTTTTCCTGTACAGGCACCTGGTAGTGCACAGCTGGAATGCACAACCCTATCGTGATGCCTTGAAGATGCAGATGCGCACCCTCGTGCCAGAGCGAGGAGGTGTGCAGGGAGGAGAGGAGGGTTCCTGCTGGTCTGCTGGCTGCGCGTCGGGTGAGCCGAGGCCTGGACTAGCTGGTGGAGGCTTCGGGGTCACAGCGATCTTCAGTTCAGCTTTCTGACGGCAGGCGGCAAGCGAGGCTCTTCCCTCTTCCTCTAGCCGTCCCCTTCAGCCCGCCTCCCTCTCTGCCTTTCCCCAGCAAACACGGGAGGCCTTGGGGGGTCTGACCGCTGTGCCGCAGCGCCTGGTACCTCAGCGGGGAGTTGTGATGAGGCACCAAGCAAAGACACGAGAAGGCTAGAGGGAATAGAGGAGAAGGGGCAAGTGAAAGAACTGGCCTGGGTTCCTTCCTGGATGTATTTTTGTTTTCAGGCTTGTCACCTTAGGAAGAAGGGGAATGGGAGAGGAAAAGGATGATGTAGCAGGGGATGGATGCTACAGTTAAGGCCAGTGTGTTGCCAAACCCTGATGTGTGCAGGTTCAAGGCACCTGTGGCATGCCAGCTTGGAAAGGAGAAGAAGGGGATTCATCCCTTTGGATAAATGAAATAGTACTGAGTGCCCCGAGGCAAGACCTGAGTTCACTGAGAAATACGTGGGCAGGATCAGAGCTGTGAGAAATGCCTGTTTCCTTGGAAGGCACAACAGGAATCCCTTGCACGTAGGTGGGTGGCTCTCTGCCACTGCCCCTTCCAGGTACCACTGGCACGGCTTTGCCCTGCGGGGTTTCGGGTGCTGCTGGGCTGCCTGCAGAAGCTTGTGCTTCCCTGCCCCCCTGTAGTTCCCAGGAAGTCTGGGTGTGCTGAATGTGCCAGCACAGACACCTCCAGTTGAGACCCTTCCAGCCCCGCCAGGGAGGTGGCGTTCAGTGATGTGGAGGCAAAGGCGGCAGAGTTGTGTGAGGTTTGGTGCCTTGTCCCCAAGACTGAACAAGGCAGGGGCTGGCTGTCCCTCAACCCTGTCCTCTGCCCTTGCCTCTGCCCTGCGAGGAGCAGGGAGTTCAGGTATCTGAGCCCAGCCTGGCCTTGCTGTGCAGAGCTGCTCTGAAATGTCATTTGACCTGGGGACCATATCCTCCAGATTGTTGTGTGGCTATTTAGTAGGACAGTGTGATCCTGGTATGGACTAAAATGGAGTTGAAAAGGTTTTATCCTATTCTGTGTTCCCTAACCTGGCACAAATTTCAATAGCTGTATAAACAAGTTTTTCTTGCTTATTCCCCCATCACATTTATCTATGGTATTTGCGAACTTATACCGAGAACAGTTCCAATGGGAAATATTCCAGCAAGTGGATGCTCCAGATAAAAGTTTAAGAATTGCCAAACACACTTATATAAAGCAGATCATGCAAAACAAACTGATCCTTTGGCATCATTACCAATTTAGGAAGTACAAAAAAATAAAGTGGGTAGGAGCGGGTGGATCACACTAAGCTGTGTCTGTACAGCCACTGGGAAAAAGTTGAGGAAAATGGTTTTTCTGTATATGCTACATAAGCTGTGGCTTAGGATTCTGGGTCAAAGAAACAAACTGAACATTGTGTACAGGGGAAGGAGGCTCATGAGCGAATATTGGTATTTAATATCGTTCTCAGGGAGCGATAAGAAGATGCAGGCAGTAAAATCAGTGGAAAAACCTTCTCTCCTCTGCCCCTCTAAAATGAAGGAGTGGATGGAATAGGACAGAGTGATCTGGAGAAACGAGCAGGGGCCTTTTTGCAGTGTAGTGAAATTCAAAACCACTAGAAATTTAAAGTCCTAGATAGAGAGAAAAACAGTGCAGCTACGCTCCACAGGACTGCTGGAGAGGAGCTGGTAAATTAAAATCTGACTATGCACGATAAGTCTGCCATAAAGGCAGCTAATCTTCTTTTTCAAGAGCTATCCCCCTGCAAGACAGGGGTAGAAATAAGAAGCCCTATCCCTGGAACATGAGCAGCGGGAATGCTCTGCATGTCCGCATGTCCCTGAGCTGTGGGCATTGGCTGAGGGTCATTAAAGGTGCTCAGGCCGGTGAGACAGGCTAGGAGAAGGTCCTGGTCCCAGTTCTTGTGGGCAGGCAGTGAGGTAAGCAGGCAACCAGGCTGAAGTGGCGTGTGGAGGATTCAGCAGGGCTGAAGATGATCCAAAGCCTTTAGACGCTCTTGGGGAGGACTGAAGCTATGTGTGCCTCGCTGCACACCAGGAGTGTGAAGAAAACCCAGCAAAGACTGGAAAGGGCTTTGTAAGCCCCCCACTGCCTGTAAGGACCTTCAGAAAGAGCTGTCTGAAAGAGAAGGCCATGTCAGTGCCATCAGTGCTCCCTGCACCATGCAAGGGTAATGTAGCATCCTCAACCAGAGTCTCTGCTCCCTCAGCTGCCATGCTCTGAAGAGGGAGGAATGTGTTCCCCTTGTTTTTTTCCACCACATTAAGGTTTTGACAGTGTTAGGAGATAGCAGAAGGGTTTGTGGCACCACTGAAAAAATGCCACAATTGGCGTCCTGTTGTCGCAGAGTGGAGAAAGCCATAGCTGAAGGGTGAATCTGCCTAAGAGATGTATCATTTAATTTGATAGCTAATAGATAGCTGTTTATACAAAATAGTCTGATTTTTCCTTCCTTAGAATTTCTAAGGAAGGGCTTTAGAGTAATCCTGTATAGTTTATTACTCAAGTGACGCCTTTCTCGGGTGAAGAGCATCGTTGGCATCCTAAAACATCCATGCCATTAACGTGGATTGTAAATAAACCACCAGGGATGGGTTAGGTATTTTAAATCCTATAGCTCTTTCTGCAAGCATAGGAATGCTATTCGGAGCATTTTGGCTAAAGTTCAGCATGAGTACTTGTATTCTGCCAACTCCAATCCCCTCCTGGAGTTTCAAATGGATACGATATTTATCTTCACTTCCTGTCTTAACTATTGTGTGTTGTCACTGTAGGTTGCTAAACAACTGCTGTCTGATCAGTGGCTGCATTTTGCTGGCAAATAAAGTGAGCCCCATGTGCGTATGAACCATAAAGCTATTTGGAGCCCTTGCATAAGAACCCCAAGATACGTGTAAGCTGTTAATATTTATTATGTGGAGCTGAGAACATCACTGAAGATGGAGGGATTAGAGTAACTGAGTTCAGGCTGTTGAACAGCCAGACAGAATGAAAGAGAATACAGATGCCCTGAAGGAATAAGAGCAAAACGCATGAGGAATTTTCTGTATGCAGGATTAGACTCCAGTGGAGCATGGAAAGAAAAAGCCTGGAAATGCTCAGGAGAGGCAGAGCAGATAGGGTGGATTCAGTGGTATGGCTTCTTTCTTGGAGGTGAATCTTTCCTTCTATGCTTCCCCCAAACAAGCATCAGCTTACCCATGGGCTCACTGGCTGCAAACAGCAAGAGGCCTGTGAGAAGGGATCTGCCACATCAGAATGCAGGTCAGATGAGGTGTTTCCAAGCCACAAGAAAGAGGATTCAGTTTTCTGGGATGTGCAATGCTTGGGCATTGGCCCTCTCACTGCTAGATGTTTCAAGAGTCTTCTAACCTGTTATTGCTTTTTGCCTCATCTCTCAAGAACAGCGTGACCTGGAAACTCTGCATTTCTTCTGCGGGTTTTGCCTGAGCTGGGCAAAGAGCTTTTCTCTGCCTTAAAAACATCAAGCGATGGCAGGGAGCAACAGCAGCCCCTTTCTGTGGAGCAAGGTCCTCAGCAAACCAGCTGCTTTAATGTCCAAAGGACTGGTAACAAGGAAAGGCAAGGCTCAGAAAGCTGGAGGCTCTGGAAGGGCAGCCAACACTACACCTCCCAGTGTGGAAGCTACAGAAATGCTTCTGCACAAAGCCCTTATGGCTACTGTGGACTAAGGTGGCCAGCAGCCACCAAAATATCTTGGGAAGCCATGGTAGTTTGTTTCCAAAAGCAGCCAAAAGCCCAGTCATCCAAAACTGAGGTTCCTGCATTTAGTTGGGCTTTTCCAGATACATGGTGCAGAGCTCCCAACCAAAGTGAAAATGGGCAAAGATAGCTGCCTCCAACCTCTGATGAGAGTTGGTTGCTTTGGAAAATTCAGGACTCCTTTCAAAGTAGGGGGATCAAAGCCGAGCTATTAGTGGTTTTATGCCTCAGCGGTTCGGAAAGTCCCTCGCTCCAGCCAGCGGCAACTGGCAGTTGAAGCAAAACAGGTAGCCCCTCTCGTTTGCCTGTGTGCTCTGGGCTCCTCCTGCCCTTGTCAGTGCCAGAGCCTCTCAAACTCTGTCTTGGCTGCAATCCTGCTCAGCAAAATGGCCAAAAACCTGGTGCATCCATCACCTCCAAGGAAGGTGGGCAGGGTCCTGCTCAGCCAGGCAGGCAGTTATCTCATGCAGACAGTACCGTGTGGGAGGAGGGGAGAGCTCCAGTGCCTTGTCTTGACCAGATCTCCACCACAGACCCACTGTGCAATCCCTGTGTGAGGGGCACCAGCCACCCACGTCAGGAAAGGGAGACTTCTGGGCCTAGTTTTAGGCAAAGCAGAGCAAACGGGCTGGGTCACACAGTTTAGCCTTGGCTAAAGGTTTCCTGTGGGTGCCACTGCACGGTGGCTGTGAGAGCAGAAACAGAAATTCACCTCTGAAT